TGCATTAAATTCTCTTAATCACCTCCACTATCATTGAATATAGACTATAAATATCATTTGTTAGAGACAAAACTACAATTATTTTGACATTAGGGTGTGGTACAATGGTCTAATAGCTGCATCTTAGGATATGGTGAGTTGAAGGTTATAGGAGTTCGAGATGATGAAATAGCGGTAAACCCATCAATTGTAATCTATTTATACTAACGCTATATTTGACAAATAAAAATAAATAAACTTTACCCTTTTTTAATTCCTCATACTTTAACATTACATACTAGTTTATTTTTTAAAATATTTTTTTTATTGTAAAAGTAAATCTTTTTATTTTTAAATGTCCTTTATTTTTATAACAAATATAAAAATTATATACTTTTTTTTTGTTTTTTTTGGATTTATTTTTCTTACACCATATAATTTAATCAAAATTATATGTTTTCTTACACCATATAATTTAATCAAAATTATATGCTCTTCATTTTTCCTAATTTTTATATTTATTTTCTTTACATAATATAATTTAATTATCATTAAAAAAAGGGGCATTTAAATTTGAAAAATTCTAAATTATATGTATGAGAGATGAGAGAAAAAAAAATAGAAAAAAAGACTTGAGGGTATAAAGGCTGTGCGCGATGCGGGTCGGTGCGGTTTGGGAGAAAAATAGAAACCGTATGACGGGTGACGGATTGATAAAAGTGTTATTAGAAATTGTCATTTTTTTTATCAAAAACATGCGGTTCGGTTGGCAAATAATAGCGGATTTGCCTTGGCGGTTCAATTGGATTGACAGTTTATAAAAAATGTAATTCAAATTACAGAACTTGAATCAAAGAGTAAAAAGATCCAAGTTAATACCAGGGCATGAACGAAGAGAGCGGCGAGAGCAGAGCCACATACCGACGAGTGAAGAGTAGCGGCCGTGAGGAGAAAGTAGTGGCGGTGCACAAAGAGCAACGACGGCGAGTGAAGAGCAGCGATGAAGAGGCTAATGGCAGTGATAGCAAGGCTATGGTAGCACTGATCGACAAGGTAAGGAAGAGGAATAAGATGAGATGTTGTTGAAAAATCTAGAAATTCCTAAATATTGATTTGTGATTATGTATCAATTTTAAGCAGTAAATAACAATCCAAATCAAACAATCAAGAAAAATTGACACAACGATTTTAACGTGGAAAAACCACAATTGGAGCGCCTCCAATTGTGATAAAAAAATCACAGGCCAAAGCCACAAAACAATCCACTAAGAATACAAAAAGAATTACACAAGTGTTCTCTCAATTACCTAGCGAATCCAAGCCCGAATCGAACCGACCCCTATGTGCCTCTTCCAACCTCGTCTTCACCTCGAAATTGTTTTGCCCAACGTTGAATCCACAATGTCGATGTCGAATCCACGACGACGAGCCACTCCAGAATCCACCAAAGCTTTAGGCCCAAATTCCACGAAATCCACTAAAGAACAGCTCTATCTTTTTTTAATAAACCAAACTAAACAAACCCTTTGATATAATTCACTTAATTCATGATTAAACTCTCACAGATATCAAATGAAAACAAGCGAAGAAGCCCCAGATGAAAACCCTAATACCCAAGAAGAAGATCTGGAAGCCGTACCCTAAAATTAGACTGAAACACATATTTATAGAAAATAGATCTGCGATCTCTGCTCGAATGCAAGAATGGCCGCTTGAGCAGATCTACGCTAGAGCGCAGGAATAGCTGCTTGAGCAAAAAAAAAAAAACAACTCTCAGTACTTTTGCAGGCGAGGAATGGCCGCGATCCCCAACATAGTTAGCGAAGTGGCAAACATAAAAGAATTAACTTCAGAAACATCTCTGCTAGGTGCCATTCAGGTTGGATTCACATCTAAAACTCAAAGCCTCACTGAAATAGAATATCGAATACAATTATAACTGAAAGGAGTTTTGTCAAATGAGATTGTCAAGAATAAAAACCTAACATTGTGCACTATGGCGATGAATCGATGATGATGAATGGAATGAGATGTTTGGGTCTGAATTAGGTTTACTTGAGGAATTATTATGTGTGTGTGAGAGTATATCTACATTTGGTATGATAGATGATGTAATATAATGGTTGGAATTAACTTGCTGGATGTGTATATAGCAGTAGGCGACTCAGGTCGAGACGGTTTATATGACGGGTTGGCATTTTCAAACCGCCGCTCGCGCCGACCTGTCATACCTGGGACTCTCACCTACCCAACTCGCCCGCCAGAGTTGAAAAATTGTGCAATTCGGTAAGATTTGATGCGGTTTTGGTGGTTTTCTGCATAATCCTTCATTTCACATCTATAGTTAACATAATTAACCGTTGCTCTTTGGTCTGAAATGGAAACTTTTTGGCTATATTTGAACTATAAAGCGGTAAAACCCCAAACTACAAGGGATAAAATTTTATTCCAAAAAAAAGCGTAATATCTAATAAGTTTGACATAATTATATTGTAAAACTTGGGCAATTCAGAGTTGCACCCAAACTAGGTTAAACCCGAAGTTTGCTCGATTCCCAGTCAGTTGAAAACTTGGGCAGTTTTCGCTTCCCACCTAAGAGAAGCGTATCACAACTTCTAACATTCTTCTTGTTATAGAACCAAACACGAAATTCAAAACTAGCAAATATTTTTAATTATATGATCAAAGTGAACAAGAAAATGCATTCCTCTTTGGATTTAAAATGTCGATTCATGTGCCCCCAATTCAACAAAGTATTGAAAAAAAATAAAAATAAGAGGCACAACTTGTCCCTAGCTAGCTAGTTTTACCTAATCGGTTAAAATTCACAAAGATTATAGAATACAATGACTAGAGTTTCTCTGTATTCTGTCAGGAGGTTGGGTTGAGAAGTACGAGTCCAAAACAAAGCCCTCCCCCTTCGAAGCAAATCTTGTCTCCGACTTACTGCTCAAAAACATTGTAAGATAAATTGATAGAGAGAGATACAGAGAGAATGAATTATGTATATTGATTTATGTATTGAATGTTGTATTGATTTTCTGTATTGTATGTGATAATTACAAAGAGAAATCAACTCTCTCTTTATAGAGAGAAGCAATATACATTGGATTCCAAATGATGGGCATTACCACCGAAAGCAAAAAGAGAAAAGAGAAAGCTATACAATTGGCAATATTATATTAACATCATAGATGGGGTAAGGTGATATTCGCTAAAAGTTGAGAGGATCTTGATGTAAATTGTAGTTAACCCCAAAATTTAAAATGCAGATTATAGTGTATGTTTTTCACACAGTTTCGCTACCAAAGGTAACCTGTTAACCTAACCATACTTAGAAGCAGCCATGTATTGGGATAGAGTTCATATATTATCATCCAGTTAACTCTATTTCAGCGATCCCTAAGTGGCAAAGGGAAGGAAACAAAAAAAAAAAAAAGAGAGAGAGGGGAGGGGGGGAAGAGAGATCCAAAGCAAGATCTGAATATGGAAAAACCCTACTTTCCTTTTGACAAAAAGATTAACTACTACCTGTAATCGAGAAAACCGAATATTGTTCATGGTAAGGATTACTTGCACTTCATGCAACTCATCTGCCAATATCCGGATGGCCAGATACTTGAAGAAAGTTTTTTTTTGGGTGAGTACTTGAAGAAAGTTCGCAAAAGACTCTTCTGTTCTTCCAAGTTTTCACTGTCACTATCGAATTTGGGAAACCATAAGACACACTTGACTTCACTCCATGGGATTGGGTTGTCCTCTGCTTTGGAGATAATTGTCTGGGAGGGGTGAGAAAGGCCCCAAAGAATTCTGACACCAGAGAGGGATGCATCAAGTGGGGAGCCAGCAGATAGAACTGTTGTGGATATTATCTTGGATGGATCGTAGTGGCGAGAGAGATGTGAGGAGAAATGAAAATCGGTGTCATCCAATAAAAGAATGCATCCATCATAAGATGTGGGAAACAATCCCAGAAGTGATTTGGCATCCACAATTTCATCTTCCGGCAAGCATAAACTTGGTCGAGAAGATGATGAAGTTGATGGACCCACATCATGAGAAAATTCACATTTGTCTCCATTTCTACAACCCTGCAGATACATTTCTACAGCTATTAGAAACCATTATTGTCAAATTGTGAATCTTAAGATTCACTTCATTTAGCATAACATATAAGTGTTTAAAAAATAAATAAATATCAATAAATAACTAAACTGTATATATGTATATACATATAAAAGCACATATATCAGTATAATTAGTTGACATCTTTTTTTATTTTATGAAAACGCCACCATTTCATGCATTATGCAACTAGAACTGAATCATAATGAATTGTAGTAAATCACAATTGAATTGTAAGACTCAATTTAAGATTCAACTGGATGAATCAAATCATTTTGCTTGAAACTCGATTCGTAAGATTCTGTCAACCATCTTAGAAACAATGGAAATTGCACAAGCACAAAACTTCAAAGAAGCTCAGAGCCAAACAAGTAAATACCTTGAGAGAAAGGAAGAACTTGCAGACAGATCTTTTTGCTTGAAGTGAATGAGAATATGAGCATTGGTTGCCCCTGTTGCACAGCCCTTTGACAAAAAATTTACATAGAGAAGGTTCCCAAGGGGCAGGAGGACCATCACCATTAACATAATTATGTTCGTTGCCAGATATGTCTTATGTATATTGAACTCTTACCTATCGAACATGATGAGCAAGTAGAAAGTGTTGGAAATGGTTAATTTTTTCCTCAAGTTAGGCCTATTTTTTAGGTGGGCCCCGAGTGTCGATTTACTCGGGTCAAAGTGGTAACGCGTTTTATGCCGCGTTGTGATTCACGTGGTATATTTGGTTGCTCAAAACCATTACCGAGTGAATGGGAAATTGAAGCCAAAGTGTGCTCCATGGAAATGGAGTTTTGGTGGAAATTCCTTAAGGTTGTAAATTGGCTTGTCCCACATTGATTTGGTGGGAGGTTTTGAAAGGGTTTATAAAAAAAAGAGAGAGAGGGGAGGGGGGGAAGAGAGATCCAAAGCAAGATCTGAATATGGAAAAACCCTCAAACTTTCCTTTTGACAAAAAGATTAACTATTACCTGTAATCGAGAAAACCGAATATTGTTCATGGTAAGGATTACTTGCACTTCATGCAACTCATCTGCCAATATCCGGATGGCCAGATACTTGAAGAAAGTTTGCAAAAGACTCTTCTGTTCTTCCAAGTTTTCACTGTCACTATCGAATTTGGGAAACCATAAGACACACTTGACTTCACTCCATGGGATTGGGTTGTCCTCTGCTTTGGAGATAATTGTCTGGGAGGGGTGAGAAAGGCCCCAAAGAATTCTGACACCAGAGAGGGATGCATCAAGTGGGGAGCCAGCAGATAGAACTGTTGTAGATATTATCTTGGATGGATTATAGTGGCGAGAGAGATGTGAGGAGAAATGAAAATCGGTGTCATCCAATAAAAGAATGCATCCATCATAAGATGTGGGAAACAATCCCAGAAGTGATTTGGCATCCACAATTTCATCTTTCGGCAAGCATAAACTTGGTCGAGAAGATGATGAAGTTGATGGACCCACATCATGAGAAAATTCACATTTATCTCCATTTCTACAACCCTGCAGATACATTTCTACAGCTATTAGAAACCATTATTGTCAAATTGTGAATCTTAAGATTTACTTCATATAAGTGTTTAAAAAAAAATAAATATCAATAAATAACTAAACTGTATATATGTATATACATATAAAAGCACATATATCAGTATAATTAGTTGACATCTTTTTTTATTTTATGAAAACACCACCATTTCATGCATTATGCAACTAGAACTGAATCATAATGAATTGTAGTGAATCACAATTGAATTGTAAGACTCAATTTAAGATTCAACTGGATGAATCAAATCATTTTGCTTGAAACTCGATTCGTAAGATTCTGTCAACCATCTTAGAAACAATGGAAATTGCACAAGCACAAAACTTCAAAGAAGCTCAGAGCCAAACAAGTAAATACCTTGAGAGAAAGGAAGAACTTGCAGACAGATCTTTTTGCTTGAAGTGAATGAGAATATGAGCATTGGTTGCCCCTGTTGCACAGCCCTTTGACAAAAAATTTACATAGAGAAGGTTCCCAAGGGGCAGGAGGACCATCACCATTAACATAATTATGTTCGTTGCCAGATATGTCTTATGTATATTGAACTCTTACCTATCGAACATGATGAGCAAGTAGAAAGATCAATTCAATATCTTTTTTGGGTGAATAATATCAATTCAATATCAAGAATGGTTTTTACATGGCAAAAAAAATGCAATACCTCTTTGATTATAGTTGCTAAATTTTCAGCCACCTCATGTGATAGAAAGTAACTACAAGGAATGAATGGCACAGAATTACATTTCCTTGTTTCATTTGGAAGCTCAGAGTGCTCATCATCTGCAGCCATAGTGTCCGTATTTCCATTTTTCTGACATGTGAGAAGACATGTATGTTGAAACTCGTAAGGCTCATAATACAATGGTAGACCATCAGCTGTAGCCAGAAATTTGGGTCGAAAGCGGTGAACTGAATTTAGTATATCTTCATCTGCAGAAAAACACACTCACCGTGAGATAAAACTCAAATCATGGTTGCATATACATGAGATTGTTAAACCCATACATATTTCTGCGACATGGTTTAGTGATGGCTGAACGAGATTGTGGAAAGAACACCATTCTTCTTCAGGGGCCAACACTAGTGCAGCTTTCATCTCATCAAAGTGTAAAAGTTGTTTCAGCTGATCAAGACGGAGCTTATCCTTTAAGAAGTAGACAAACGAATAAATTTTCGAATTCCATTGAGAAAGACAATCTTCCAGAAATTCAAGTGTAATAAACTACTTTACCTTGTAAACGCATTGCCAAAACTAAAATGCACAGAGGTTTGCCAAAAATACCATTTCCTTTCTACCAGTTAGGGCAGTACTCTTATCATCTCCAGAATAATAGCAGTCAGTGTACTCTGCATACTGAAGAATATATGCAATTAATCAGAAAGAGGAATTGTTTGAGTAATCAAATGAAATAATGAAATTCTGAAGCTTAACAATTTAATAAATATACCAAAATTTCCTGCGCAAAAGGACGTAGAATAGGTAAAGGCTGTGTATCCATCAATACACCAAGTAGAATGCGATTCTATGCTAGAAATTGAAACTAAATGACATGAAATCGTGAAAAACAGAAATTGCAAAGAACAGAATTCCAAATAATATTGAAGGCGTCGATCATAGGAAAGAAACGGTGGGTTTTGGGAAAGAGACGGTGGGTTCTGGGGAAGAGATGGTGGAGAGAGAGAAGCTGCTTCACCTTCGCCATCAAAGGAGAGAGAGAGGAACAGTAAACACTCAACTCTTCCCTCCGTCGCTCTCTGAGGTCACAGTCTCTCTCCGATCCGACGGCCACGATCTTCTCGTCACCTAATCGGACGGACAGCCTTCGCTTGTCAGCCTCTTCTACTCTGCAGTAGGCAAGTGGGATTTCTTTAACACTGGGTCTATGTAGCAACAGCAATTGCTACGAACCCTCTTTGGGTTGTGAAGACAAGACTTCAGACTCAAGGAATGAGAATAGGTGTGGTGCCATACAGGAGTACACTGTCTGCTTTGAGAAGAATTGCTCATGAAGAGGGTATTCGTGGATTATACAGTGGTCTTGTGCCTGCATTGGCTGGTATCAATCATGTTGCCATGCAATTTCCAGCATAGGAGAAAATCAAAATCTATTTGGCCAACCGAGGAAACACTACAATGGATACACTCAGTGCAAGTGATGTTGCTGTTGCCTCCTCAGTTTCCAAAATATTTGCATCAACATTGACATATCCACATGAGGTAGTACGCTCCAGGCTACAAGAACAAGGTCACCACTCCGAGAAACGATACTCTGGTGTCGTGGACTGTGTCGCGGCGACGGCCATGGACGGTGTCGCGGCGACGGCTCTCCGGTCAGTCCTCCACCGCGTCCAGCAGGCCGTCGTGAGGTCCGACTGGAAAAAAAAAGTTGAGGGTTCGGCTGGGAGATATTGTATCAGGAGAGTACTGTGTGGTTGCTCCAGACACAGAGATCTTTTGTGAGAGGGAGCCTGTGCGAAGGGAGAACGAAGATAGGTTGGATGAGGTTGGCTATGATGATGTGGGTGGCGTTAGGAAGATATAGATATCGAGCCCTCAAAAGTCGTGCCCTATTTTGTGGCTTGGAATAGCAGGGGATTGAAACCAGACGCAAGGAAGGCCGGTGTCGCGACGGAGCTTCGGCAAAGGGACATCGACGTGCAAGCGGCGGTGGTCTCCGGCGACTGAACAGTAGTGCACTCAGCAGGTTGAAGAAAGGAAATTTCAAGGTATGTATAGAAAATTTTAGCGGACTAGGTTGAGATCCGGCGGGCGGTCAAGGCAAGGTTGCCGCCCGCCGGAAGGCGAAGAACACCAAGATCTTTAACCTATAGCTCTGATACCATGTAAGATAAATTGATAGAGAGAGAGATACAGAGAGAATGAATTATGTATATTGATTTATGTATTGAATGTTGTATTGATTTTCTGTGTTTATTACAAGGAGATGTGCACTCTCTTTTATAGAGAGGAAAAGATACATAGGGTGGCATAAAGCAAAGGATAATTATTAAAGCTAACATAATGCTGTGCTAAACATAATGATAACACTAGCAATACTAACATAGAATACTAACATCACTAACATATAATACTAACATATTTTAACAAACATATTGCACGAAATGGTTCTACGAGAGGACGAATATTCAGGCCCGTATATGGTGTTGAAGATCGAGGTGAATGGGTCGGCGTTGCACGCATCAGCATAATCAGCGGTGCTGAATGAGTCTCTAGTACTCTCAGTGGTGAAAGAATCATTGTACGAGGTTATGAAAATAGACTAATCACTTGATGTAGCATCTGAATACAAGCTGTCCATGCTTGGTGGTTTGTTTCTATTCACCCTTCGAAGACCTAATGGAGGTTCCGAGCTGACAATGTGGTAACTAGATTTGGTTTGTATGGTGGGTCTTGATGGTTTCTGACTACTGGATGCCTACTGCTTTACAAACCCAGGATATTGATGCCAGGTCGGTTTCCCAAAACAAGGTCTTGCGGGCGAGGGCATGACCTACAAACGATCTAACATTTCAAAAACTCTGAGAAAGAATAAATAAGAATTATCAACATGAATATTGAGAAAAATGTAATGGAAAATGCATACTCGAGAAGAGATTTATTTTGGGGAATAGCAAATTATGTGCTTACCTCATGCAAAATAAGATATATGCTCCTTTCGACATCACTTGGCTCATGGCACTGACTGGACCTGCCAGTGAAGATTGGTATGGAACTTGAGAATCTAATTTTGTGACAAAGATGAAGAGAAATTTTGCAATCACAAGCGTAATTGGAGCCCAAATTGATCAAAAAGCCAAAATGTGGACAATTAGAGACCAAATTCAAATCAATAGATCTTTTCGCATATACCTCAAGTAGATGAAAGTCCAGTCCACTTAAAGTAGCGTTGAACAGAAAAAATTATTCACCCATTCTTACACTTTGATCTTGAACCACAAACCTTCTAAGTTTAGCTTAGGGACATTTTGAGGTTTAGGCATGCACTTCGTAGAAGCATGAATTTAAATGACTACAACATTCAATGTAATTAATAAAAAGGAAAAATGGGTACATATTCCATAGTAGAATCTTGAACGTTATTGGAAATATTTTTTTAAAGTAGAACTTTATTGGCCTAACAAGCTCTTATTGGTCATTGGGAAAGAAGAAGACTTATTCATACTTTTCTCTAATATTTATGATGTCATCGTCAATTAAACAAGCCTTGTTATCCAAAATAGTTGCAATAAGAATTTGTGGCGAAGTATTTTATGAATGACAGCACGTGGTTAAGGTGATGCCGAAGTGTTAGCCGAGGTGCCACGTAGCCTGGTCATGTTGCCGAGATGATCTCGGCTAGGCCGAGGTTATCTGCAGAGATACCAGAATCCGAGATAAGCAAATAAGGGACGGGAGTCCTAGAACAGAGGAGGATCTCATTCTGGATAAAGATAAGGCTCATGAAGAGTTTATCTCTATCTGGATGAGGGTCCAGGATGAGCTTTGAGCTTGAGTCCACTGAAGTGAGGCTTCTAAAGGGATCAGGTCACTGCTGGTTATAAAAGCAAGGCACCCTCGTGGGTCTAAGGTAAGTTCTTTCTGGTGAGTTTAAGCACAATTTGCTATCTTTGAGAGATATTGATTACTGACTTGATCGTCGGAGTGCCCCTGGGTGGACGAACCACCACCCAATTCTCATCTTCTTGTTATAGGTTGTTGGGTTTAATCTATTCTGTCAGTGCTCTCCAGCTGAGTTCCCTGTTTAGTTGTGTGGTCAAAAATCAACATTCACAATTTGGTGCCGCCTGTGGGAACTTAAGGAGAATAGATGGCTAACGATGGACAGGAAGAAAAGCTTGGGGATGACATTAGAAGTGAGAGTTATGAAAATAAAGATCCTAATGTCAGGAAAGAAAACCGTAATGAGGAAGCACAAGATCCGAATCTTGGGGAGAAGGACGTTGGCAAAGAGGGAAATGCCCCAAAGAAAGTTGGCCGAGATGAGTACTATAACGAAAGCAACCTCCAGGTATGGAAGGATAGATGTCTGAGGAGGGATAACGAGATGAAATGGATGGCGAACAAGTTGGCAGACCTTCAGTCGGTTGTCAATTTCATGATGCAGAACAACGTGATACAACCACCATTCTTGTTACAGGACACGCCGGTACCAATGACAAAGACTGATGCCCAAAAAGGGGGGCAAAAAAACAATCCCAGCAGTCCTGCAACATGGCAAGGAAAATGAGTGCTCACATCAGCCTTCACGGAATGTCGGGCGATTAGAGTTTGTAAGAGGTGAATCGCAGAGGACACCACGAACCAAGGGGACCTACGTCAAAGAACCTCGGCATATCTAGGGGAAGGGACTTTTCTTTGATACAGTGAATGAAGAGAAGTCCAAGAGGACGCAAAATGATGCCGGGAGCAGCGCGCTAAAAAGGCTGAAATTTGTTGATAGCCGAGCTCCCGGCTGAACAAAGGAGGATCTGAGGGACTACCTCCAGAGGAAGCGACTCCATGCCGAGGT